CAGCTCTGAAAAGGAAAGGACACACAAGGACATCAATGTGGAATGCAGCAATTTCAGCCTTTGTGCAGCAACTGCAAAATATTCAGGCCAGTAAAATTTCTGAGCACCAGCTTTTCATGAGGAGCAACACAATGTTCCCAACTCCACGTGGCTCTGCTTCTAGTTCTGCTCCTCAACTCTCTCTGGGACACATTCAAGCAATTTCCTCTTATGTGACTAATGTGAATTAAACTTTTGAAGTTGTGAAGCCTTAGGTTGAAAATTGATGCTCTTACACAGAGATATTAAAACATGGTCTGTTCTCAGAAGAGTGGCCAATGTAAACAGCAAGTTCCCACTTCCACAGGTGCAGAGGGAAGTAAAGTAATTTGCTGCCAGTGTTGCAGGTTTTAGTACTTTGCCTTCACAGATGTTTTACAAGATTAATTTCTCTGTCCTTCCATCAGAAACAACACCCTCAGCAACACAGTGATAACTTCCTCAAATAATTTTGCCAGTTATAAAAACCACTCAGAGAAAAAGAGAGGAGCAGTAAAATGGTGCTTGCATAGATGCACCACAGAACAGGCTCCTCCATGGAGGCTTCTGCTTCCAGGAGAACAAGGAGCAATGCCAGGTCCTATGGGATATCTGGTATAATCTATTTCCTCTGCTTAAACAAAAGGGAATCAAAAGCACAGAATCACAGAGTCGTGGGGGTTGGAAGAGAGCTCTGGAGATCATCCAGTCCAAACCCCTTGCCTGAGCAGGACCCCTAGAGCAGATCCCACAGGAACATGTCCTGGTTTGGAATGTCTCCAGGGATGGAGACTCCACAACCTCCCTGAGCAGCCTGTCCCAGTGCTCTCTCACCCTCAGAGTAAAGAAGCATTTTCTTATACTTAGGTTAAACCTCCTGCTTATGGCAGTTCCAAAACCAACCCTTAGTCAGCAGTACCTACCACAGGGTTTTCTCCATGATGAGCCACCTTGACATCACACAGCAGCCCTGTAGGATCTAACTGGACTTCCACATAGAACATGTCTGAAGTGATGTAACATTCAGTGCCATTTGCACTAAGGTGAGATCCAAGGCTTACATACAAAACAAAACAAAAATTGCTTTGAGACACACACAGAAACCCATCAGAGCAGCACTGGGGTGATGAGTGTTACAGATAAACAGGAAAGGCCTTTTTGTCATAAAAGAAAGGAGAACACCAACCCGTTCTGCCTGGCTATGGACTCCAAGCGATCTGTCATGGCAGGCAGGGAAGATACTGGATGGAGAGAGCAAGAAACAAGGCTTGGTGAACCTCAGGAAGAAGACACTAGCAATAAAATTCAGCCTTCACCAGTTACTCCCTCCCACCTCTGCTCACACCTCCACCAATGCAACTATATCCTTTATCTGTCCCCAAAACACAGGTGGGACAATTTGCATGGAGAAAACCAAACGTTCTCAGCACTGCCCAGAGGGAAGGGATTCTCCTCCAGGTGGGACTGAGGCACAGGCCTGTGCAGCAAGAGTGACCCAGGCAATCCTGGCTGGTGCTGGTGGGCTGGGATCCTTGTGTTCACACAGCGGGGAGCACAGTGAGATGTGCTGGCAACACCCTCACTTGTCTTTGGGATCTGGAGCCTTTCCAAGCACACCCAGAAGGTACCAACCTTTCAGTGCCTTCTGCAGAGTCTCCAAGCAGCTCACCAGGTGCTGGTGCCCCCCTGAGTTCATCACCACTCGCTTCTCCTGAAGCAGAAAGAAGAAAAATATCCTTTTGGTGGGAGGGAATGATTGTAATTTCTGCTCAGCCCAGTGAGGTTTATTTAGGTGATCAAAAGCAGATGAGATTTTGTTCCAAAATTACATCCTCATTTTCATTCCTTTAGGAGAACAGAATACATTTCTGAAGCAGGTCTGGAATGGATTTATTTTCTTTCAGCAAGTGGCTCATCTGGAGGAGCAGACTGCAGCAACATGTCAGTGAGCACATGAGCCAAGAGTTACACCAAAGACAAGACAGAGATCAGGAGAGAGGCAAAAACTCTCAAAAAACTGCCTCCTGCTCCTCCTTCCCTCACCCAGGGACCAACATTTCTAACCCATGTTTGACAGAGTTCTGGACACCACTGAGCTGTACAGGACAGACCTTGACCCTGTGGGGGGCAGGAATTGTTTGGGCTACTCAGCCCTGGCTGAAACCACAAGTTTGACCCTTTTTCTGGCACTCAGCTGAGAGTTGCCCCATGACAACTGGGCTGTAGCAGGGGAGGCTGTAACTGGGGGAGGCAAAGGCACAGCAGACAGAAAGGGCAGGGCCATCCCCCCCTCCCCTGCACAGGGGCAGGTGGGATCTGACAGGCCTCAGCCACCCCAGCCCAGGGGGAAGTCAAGGATTGCACCAATGAGAACTTTGAAGAAGTCTAACAAAACAACAACAAAATTACACCTGAAGACATTTCAGAAATCCCCCTGCTGAGACCCCAACAACTCTCACCATGACTTGCCGGACTAACTTCATGGTTTCTGTCCAAGGTCTGTTCTGGTTGTACTTTGCATGAAGCCTTTCCAGGAGGGTGCTCATCTTATTCAGCTTCTCTGTTTCTGTGAGAGGGGGGAATGTCCAGGGAAGTAGAATGAGAGAGTAGCTGAAGTTTTACAAATAACACAGCTTGGCAGTTTCCAGCTTCAAGCTAAATGTGATTTCTAAAAGCTGCTTCTCTGCTGATGTGTCCCTGCCACCCAGACTGAAGGGTAAGGGCACTACAAGCTGTTGATACCTAAAGGTTTATGAAAGGTCTTGGGAAAGGTCCAGCTCCTGTTCTGCATGGACTCAGAGTGACATGGCCCCACCAAACTCAGTTCTGTCATGCCAGGAACATCTCAGGGCACTGAAGATAACACAGCATGGTCTGAAAATGAAGCTTCCCCAGGACAGGAATCAGAGAGCACAGAAAGCAACCTGCTACAGAGCTGAGGCAAAGCTGCATGTCTGGAATTCCCCTTCACTGCCCTCTCTTCCAGCTCCACAGACCTTCCCATCACCAAAATCCTCAGCCAAACCAGTCCCACCACCAGCTGTCACCAGTTCTCTGCTCACACTCCTGCCTCACACTTGCTTGGCTCCAGAGTCAGTGAATGGGAGGTAACAAAACGCAGGAAAATGAGGGGGGTCTCAGATCTCCACCAACCTGGAACCCACTCAGCCTTTACCAACCACCTCTCATATCACTCTGACTCCCACCTGTGGTTCTACAAGCTCATTTCCGTATATTTTAAAGAGTTCCACTGCTGTGAACAAGACCTCTCTGATGAGACAAAAGGGGGGACCCAGGAGCAGCGACGGAGGAACAAACTGGGCAGTTCAGACCAAAAAAGTGTTACTGTTTGTTCCTCTGCTCTCTAGCCGGACACACACACAGACCAAGCAGGTTTCAAGGTGTCTTCAATTGTGTCTTTTACCTGCTGAGTGACAGTGTTTTCTGCACGTGCATCTGTGAACATGTCCCAGCCGCAGGGCTG